AACTAGAAAGTAAATAATGTAATATTACCCTCACAACCCAACATAGATTTTCATTCAATAACAGCAATGGAATATTCAAATGTGAACACCCCGTAATTCGAATTGGAAATCGTGAATTCTACTGCAAATATGAACAAAGAAATCACTTTTACGGAGACCATTGAAATGTACAAGGAGAATCAGATATTGTGGAGGAGAATGCTGAAGCGTCTCCTGCTTCTTGTTGCGTTCTCAAAGCGAGGTCCGATATGGTAACAACAAAACCAAAGGCACACTAATGAGCATGATCAAAAACGTCGGTACTTATATCGCACAAGGATAAAGAATAGTTCCTAATGAGATCATCAAATTCAGAACACGTGTACCGCGTTGTTTACAAATACGAGACCATGAACGCTTACATTTTTATGTGAAAACATAAAACATATCTGGACCAACATAATCACCGAAACCACTTCAAAGTACACAAAACATCACTGAACCACACAACCAAAGGAAATATTTACGTAAAAATTTAAAATAAGACTGCATATATCGTCGTCTATTGGCTATAAAATAGCGTATGCTTGCGACTAGAACTTGAGCATTGTATTTCAACATAATCATACTAATTAGCATAGACTCTCGCACCAACGATAATAGAGCAACGAATTGGATGCCAGCGGCAAATACAATGTAGCTACATGTACGTAGTACAAGTAGATTTTAAAATGTACCATCCTCATCTTCTAAGACAGGATGACACGTAAGTGTCACATTCCCTTAATAATATTAGCGATAATGGATGCTGGGCTTTTTATGGAGGGGAAAAGTAAAAAGTAAATGACGGCAAAGAGTTAGGCGATTTTAAGACTTCCGGCCCAAACCTTATGTTTTATCGATATATAAGGCTTAAATGTCCGAGAAAAGGCAAGAATTGACGCCTGCATAAGCATATTTGCCGTGGTATTTGAAAAAGCGTTCCGCGGGCTGTTGTTGTCTCTCATTTCGAATAAGATTAGGCCACAGAATACTGTACACAGATGGCACGACAGCAAATTGACTCTAATCCTTCATATGGTAAGAGAAACGTTTTAAGAGTGGTGCTATATACAGTAAAATATGCCAGATGTGTCACCAATCAAATGTCATTAAATGCTACTGAATCTTGGATTCCTCCCCCTGTCTTGTTTTACGATCTTGCTATCTATGCTAAAACATTTGGATATGTAACGATCAACGTTAAGTCAAATGATATACACCAGAGTGAAATTTTGTTAATTTTAATTTGGGAGACGCGAAAAAATAAATAATGGCAATACATTTAATTCAATTAAGTCGGAGAGTTCACAATAAAATGGGTCTTCTCCGGGAGGCATCTAAAACAAGTTAAACCATAGCACAACTGAGTTAACAAGTTCAAACCCTGACACAGTCTACTAAGATACGTATTGAAATCATTGCACGTTTTACTAAACATGTTACAATATAACAATGTCTAGTTAACATAACACTTACATGTGGATATTTAAATCCATTTAAAATGATCGTCCCTGAAAGACAAACTACGATAAAATAGTTAGTGGCAATCTACAATGCACCTTTTACGCTAATTACTCATGCATTCAATAAAAATGTTTAATTTGACGGACTTGTGTGTGACACCACAGATACCACAGATATCTAGAAAACAAGGTTATTGGGATGCTTTTATTCGGAGCACATCAACCGACAGCATGAAAATCAAAGATGTTTCCCTGAGGTGTCAGTGACGACGACACAGAAGATAAAACGAAATTCGAATTTGGTAAGAAGTATAAAAACGTCTCTAATTGGAAAAAGAAGGTGTGCCATTTCAGTTAAACTATGCGATTGAAACTAAATAACAACTTCCCTATATCATGTTGCTACAGCATCCTATTGCGATGCGGTAAATAAGAAAGGTGTTTTTACTCTTTAACAACATCCTGGTCAACACAAATATGTTCCGTCTAGTTCTGATCAACAGTTCGGCGTTTAGTAGGTCCATTTCTTTGAGATGTAACTACATAAAGTACGTTTATAACACGAGATGTCGACTTTAATGACAGATATTTACACGCATGTATTTCAAATTTCGTTTACAGTATTCATTACGTTATAATGATGACAACTGTTCGCAAATTATTTTACTCATGCGATCCGGTTATTCTACTGTTTAGCAACATTACTAAACATCGCTCACGTGTATTGGGTCAGTTCATGCTCAGCAGCAATTAATGTTCATGTAAAATGGCACGTATTAACTTAGTTTCGCATTTGAAGTCACGTGATTCAAAAGACAAATTAATCTCCTGCGTCGAAAAATATATTCGTTTTTATATTTTACTTCGGTAGATTTTAATAGATATTGCGACACTAATCTCTGGACTCTGATCATTTCAGTAATTTAACCCCACACTAGGTTACTGACAGTAGCTTGTTGTTTAATTCCCATTGCCACATACATGCCACTATTTATCGTCTCCGAAGTCTGTAAAGACGTATGAACCTCCACGTCGTGAACAGTAATGCAACTGTTCAAGGTCGTGCACAATACCCTCCCTGACTAAACGAAATTCTATGGACACAAATGGTACGATAAAACTACAATTCAGCCATAAATTGCATTCAATTTTAAGAACGACGTCTTTGAAATTCTCAATAACACTACTGCTACACAGCAAGGCCCTAGCCCTTACAAACAGAATAATCGAGGAACAACCGCTCCCTCAAATTAAATGCAATCTTTAAGTCAACAAATGACACTCGCTGTGGGAAAAATATCCCCTACCGAAAACCCCACCGGATATCTTAAAGTAATTCAATTCTGCAGAGAGTCAGTCGACACCTCATGGGAAGTGAAGAGACCCCCGCTGTAAATCCGCTCAGGTAGTCCCAGGTAATGCGATCCGAATGCAAGTCATGAACAACGGCGACGTTCAATCAATGAGGCTGTCCGTCTCACGGCTGGACGATATCAGTCTAGTATGTTAATGGCTAGTACCTGGACACCCTTCAGTAACCTCAGGCAAACAATTATAGACCAGGTTTTATAGCCTAATGTGTAAATTTTAACTGGAGTCAACGCAACATTGAATTTTATTACCCTTATACCCAGAATGTCAGATTAGCAAATTGTTCTATATGTCACCTTTACGATTTACGACACACCAGCAGTGAATTTTGTTTATCCCACGTTAAGTTCTAAAACAAGAACAGTGGTTTAAATTCAGGATAGAGTGACGAACAATGAGACTTTAGAGCTCCACGAATATGGAGAGATGTAAAAGGTATAAATACTACCGGTAAGGTGATCAAACCTTGACATTTGAATCTCATCAGTACCGCTGATCATAAAAGTGTCGTATCTAACAACGAAATCAACGATAAAAACAGAGAGGTACATGGTCTAGTTACATAAGCAACTAGAACCAACTTCACTTCGACCTGGTGCATTCGCCAACACTTATGTTGGGAAATGGTATTGTATAAATTCTAGCCCCAGCAAAGAATATGAGAAATACAAAACGAACAAGTTTAGATTAAATTGTTCGTAGTTCGATGCCCTTTACAATTCAGTAAAAGGGCACTAGCCCTGTTTTTCTATACCAAACTAAAAGACGTCTCATTTTCTCAATGCGTACACACACCAGAGTACCAGAACAGTCTATACTTTGCAAGAAAATGTTATACAGGCTTGTTATTTATCAGAACATATTTACTCACATCTATGGAAAGTATGAAAGCGACAGGAAGCTCGTGAATTGCCCCGTTCCCCCGTGGTGACATATAGACTAATATCGTGTTGGGTGACCACCTGTACGTCAGACTACCTGGCCCTCTCAGTAATTAGACTGTCAGTAATTGAGATTTATAATATATCTGCACGTACGCTAATTAAGTATACCTATCCTCCAAATTCTACCCGGCGCTCCAGGTGCACGACTTTCTTTGTCGTACAGACCGAACACTGAAGTCTATAAAACAGTAATTTCCTATCAAAGATCATTGGTCAATAACATGATTTGTTTGTTGTTTTAAAATTTAAAAAAGCATTTTGTTAAGAGGAGGACATCGGCTCGGTTTACAGAGGTTTGATACTACATGTGTTCGTATTTCACTAAAAGCTCCATCCGAACAAAAGGTATCCATTAAGGATACCAAAGCTTGTACTAAGCTGTGCTGTTCGAGTACCACTTTATTTGGCACTGTATGTACCGCAGGTGGGAAAATGTCTCGGTATTTCAGAAGCATTCGTTAAGCAAATAAGGGGTGTATTGGATACACTTGACACTTCAGCTAAAAGTGGTGATTTCCAGATACCACGATAAAGAGAGAAGATAAATATCTGCAGTTGCAGAATTGTCTTACATGTTCAGGTAAAAAAATCAACTTACCCATTCAGGTTAAAGGCCGGATAGTAACGATAAAACTACAATTTACAGATAATGTAACTATTGACATTTGATGTATGTAGCATGCTAGCAACCCCAGGGAGTTTAAACTAGCCAATTAGTTCCTTATCCAAAGTTAAAAGTAGTTAGTTACGTTTTAGTATCGACTTCATATGTGTAAATCTGCGCTCTTTAATACCGATATGGCTCTGACGATATTCTTTAAAGCATGGTCTACTTTTCTTGTTTTCATATAACATTTCAGATGGAGTGACCACCCCTTTACCGAAACAACCTACCCGGGCAAATCATTATTGTACGTACCAAATTTGCAATTTATGGTAATATAATAAGTATTGTTTTTCATATTTGAATTTCAACTTAAACGAAATATATCACACCCAGTTTAAACAGAGTTATCCGGGTAGCACCACGCTAGCTACACAGAACGTTGGGTCAATATGTTACACTATGTAGTGAAGTTAATGACAGTGTCTTCGCCAATAACAAATTTGAATTAACAAATAATCTTGTTGATATATACTTATATGTACAGGTAAGATTGATTAACTACAGCATCATTTGAAACGATGAAGTCTAGCCTACCTGTAGTAAAGTTCACGTCCCATGGTAGATATATGCTGATCGATCACAAGAAGCAAAGGTGTCGTCTCAGGAGAAGCACCATCTAATCCAGAGTGTGTATAGCTAGGTATCACAGGTATATATACAAACACGTGAGAACTGAGCTGTGAAACAACTCAGTACCCGTATCAACATACGACACAGAATTCCCCTGTCCGTATACAGTAATACTATACTCCGAATCGAGACCCCTCACACAGTGACGGGTGTTTCCGTCTCAACGTTGTTACCTGTCCCTCCTGAAAACGTTTAAGGAGCACGGCTGATGTTCACCGACAGGTGCCCGGGGATCAGACAGGTACGCTCCGCATAACTGAGCGGAATCCCTCACACAGTGGCGGGCGTTTCTATCTCAACGTTACATGTCCCTCCCGAAAACGTGTGAAGAGCACGGCTGATGTTCCTCGACAGGTGCCCGGGGATCAGACAGGTACGCTCCGCCTAAATGGTAAGCACGTGTTAATGTTCCCAAAATACAGCTCTGTTGACGGTCAGGGACAGGTGAAGGGAGATTCCTCCCGACCAGGCGATCAGAGAGGTGTACTTATTGTACACTACTACAGAGGTTCACGATCCTCCCGAACAGCGCGAGTACCGAATACAAATCCTCCGAAGGGCTCCTTACTAGTTCCCGCGGATTAGAACCGTAACTATCTTACAGAAAAGTATAAACATTTAAGGACAGTGACGATAATTGGTCACATGCCTCTCCAAACATGTGAATGAAGTCAATGACGTAGTTCTCTGTAGAATTCTCCTGATATGGTATACGTACACGCTCTGAACATCGACACGTCTATCTGCATATACACACACGCGTTAGTGACACTTCTCCCTCTGCGATAGACAGGGGTCAGCTATTTACATTTCCCCACAGCTAGGAACGTCTTGGGGCCGCGGTATCCAACCTAGATACTTTTATACAGGTGTGAATCATAGAGGTATGCTCCCTTCACCATTACCCGACATGCTAGACCAGGTGTTGACTATATCATACGCATACTATATATATATATCTAAATTAAACTACACATTACCCTTCCTTACCTTCATATCTTTACCTCAAAACATCCAGTACAACCGGCTATGAGGCTCGTTGTGTATATACGTTCTGCTCCGCTTAATACAGCGAGGCTAACAGCTTTAACACACAGAGGTAGCTGTGCCTATCAATAATGCAGACAACTGTGAAAAATCAGAGAGAACGTGTCCCCAAAATCCTCCTATATGTACCGTATATATAACGGCAATCACACAGGGAATCGGTAACCGAGGCGGACCTTCATTCCTTTTGTTCCAGGCATGTTTGCTGACAGCGATAGTGCTCCCGGTAGACTACAGGGCGTGAGATACATTGCTTTTTTCCCTAAATCAGTCCAACAGTTTTTTTCTCTAAACAACAAAACATTCTACGCGTTTTCTTATGAGTCACAAGCCCTCTCACCCATACACATCTGCATAAATAGCGCCCCGGGTCCCCTCCTCCTGGCGTGGCAGGTCGGCGCGAGGGGAGATTCACGACTCTAGCCTCGCCGTATATTGTTCTTTTGAAGGGAGAATTAATGTATCGAATGTGCTTTCTATGCCCTCAAGGACGGCAGATCAAAACTCGGTTACATTACCCTTCACAGGGTTTTCTTTAAACAGATTGGACCGGATTTACAGACAGAACCTACTAGTTTATCGAATTATGAATAATGTTTGTTTTTGTTATGGCAACCTAGTTCTTTAATTTGTTTAAAAAATATAATAATCATGCATCGCCTACTTTTTTTCTTAGTTAGAAACGTACGACTGTATTCCAAAAATAAATTGTTCAAATTACGTTCTGTGACGAAAAGGAATAGATTTCCTCTTCATTAAGTTTCACCAATTAAGTGCTATAGAACCCACGTTTGACATTAACATGGCTAAGTATATAACAGTTACGATATAATGTAAGGATTCCCTGGGTTTAACCAATTGAAAGTAAAATACATTCAAGTCAAAACCAATTTCGATGCTGCCTAATACATTTTGACAGTAGCAAATTAATAAGTCGCACCTGCTGACATAGGATTCGATCGATCGGCTAGCCTGGTCTGTTTAATATATAAAGAAAGACGCTGAACAAATCATACTGATTTATATTGAATTGTCTGCTTGATGTGTGACCTTGGCAGAGATGATATTTGACCTGGACAAGATATTACGTATGTGTGTTGAAAACGTATACAAGCCATAGACAGAAGTAGGATGTGACCTTGACAAGGGTTGAATATGACCTTGTTAGGTCGATGTGACCTTGACAGACGTATTATTCGACCGTGACCGTGAAAGTGTGTGACGTTGATAGAGGCAGCAGGTGATATATAGAAAAAATGTGTCTTATAACGAGATGACGTCTGTGAACTCGAAATATTGTGAATGTGGATTTGGAAGATAGAGCATGACCTTGTAGAGATGGTGTGTGACCTTGAAGAGATTATGTGTGACCTTGTAGAGATGGTGAAAGGTGATAAAGGATTTCAGAGCTACAGTATAACATACATTACATTGAGTACCTGTGATAAGTTTAAAGTATTTATCGTCAAAAAGACGAAACACAATGTATCATAACACTAAACACAATGTATCGTAACACTAAACACAATGTATCGTAACACTATACACAATGTATCGTAACACTATACACAACGTATCGTAACACTATACACAATGTATCGTAACACTATACACAATGTATCGTAACACTATACACAATGTATCGTAACACTATACACAATGTATCGTAACACTATACACAATGTATCGTAACACTATACACAATGTATCGTAACACTATACACAATGTATCGTAACACTATACACAATGTATCGTAACACTATACACAATGTATCGTAACACTATACACAATGTATCGTAACACTATACACAATGTATCGTAACACTATACACAATGTATCGTAACACTATACACAATGTATCGTAACACTATACACAATGTATCGTAACACTATACACAATGTATCGTAACACTATACACAATGTATCGTAACACTATACACAATGTATCGTAACACTATACACAATGTATCGTAACACTATACACAATGTATCGTAACACTATACACAATGTATCGTAACACTATACACAATGTATCGTAACACTATACACAATGTATCGTAACACTATACACAATGTATCGTAACACTAAACACAATGTATCGTAACACTATACACAATGTATCGTAACACTAAACACAATGTATCGTAACACTATACACAATGTATCGTAACACTAAACACAATGTATCGTAACACTATACACAATGTATCGTAACACTAAACACAATGTATCGTAACACTATACACAATGTATCGTAACACTAAACACAATGTATCGTAACACTATACACAATGTATCGTAACACTAAACACAATGTATCGTAACACTATACACAATGTATCGTAACACTAAACACAATGTATCGTAACACTATACACAATGTATCGTAACACTAAACACAATGTATCGTAACACTATACACAATGTATCGTAACACTAAACACAATGTATCGTAACACTATACACAATGTATCGTAACACTAAACACAATGTATCGTAACACTATACACAATGTATCGTAACACTAAACACAATGTATCGTAACACTATACACAATGTATCGTAACACTAAACACAATGTATCGTAACACTATACACAATGTATCGTAACACTAAACACAATGTATCGTAACACTATACACAATGTATCGTAACACTAAACACAATGTATCGTAACACTATACACAATGTATCGTAACACTAAACACAATGTATCGTAACACTATACACAATGTATCGTAACACTAAACACAATGTATCGTAACACTATACACAATGTATCGTAACACTAAACACAATGTATCGTAACACTATACACAATGTATCGTAACACTATACACAATGTATCGTAACACTAAACACAATGTATCGTAACACTATACACAACGTATCATAACACTAAACACAATGTATCGTAACACTATACACAACGTATCATAACACTATACACAACGTATCATAACACTATACACAACGTATCGTAACACTATACACAATGTATCGTAACACTATTAACACTTCCTAAACAGGTCAGTTGAACATGGGAAGTGCTGTACTATCCTGTTATAATATGTTAACAAAATGATTCCTTTTATGTAAAGCCGGGCGTATTACATGTCACATTTGTCACTCTACATGTGATATTTGCCATTCTACATGTGATATTTGTCATTCTACATGTCACATTTGTCATTCTACATGTGATATTTGTCATTCTACATGTGATATTTGTCATTCTACATGTAACATTTTTCATTCTACATGTGATATTTGTCATTCTACATGTCACATTTGTCATTCCACATGTGATATTTGTCATTCTACATGTGATATTTGTCATTCTACATGTCACATTTGTCATTCTACATGTGATATTTGTCATTCTACATGTGATATTTGTCATTCTACATGTGACATTTTTCATTCTACATGTGATATTTGTCATTCTACATGTCACATTTGTCATTCCACATGTGATATTTGTCATTCTACATGTGATATTTGTCATTCTACATGTCACATTTGTCATTCTACATGTGATATTTGTCATTCTACATGTGATATTTGTCATTCTACATGTGACATTTGTCATTCTACATGTGATATTTGTCATTCTACATGTGATATTTGTCATTCTACATGTGACATGGCCAGCCATATGTCGTTCAATAGGGATGAAGACAAGGCTGTTTGTCGCGCAGCCCGGTGAAACAATTGAGAGAGGCGGTTTGGCTTCATCATTGCTTCCATGAATCGCGGCAGATGATAAATGCATTTAATTAAAGTGCTATCACAGAGCGATTACATTGATTAGAACCACAGACCAACAACCGAAGTTGATTCATCAATCTCTACCCCGTCTATTACTGACACCTCGGGGGCAGTCCTAATGACCCCCATCAAGGACCAGGTGGAGTATGAGTCACGGGCACTAATTGGACATCCAAACATTGGTACATACGAATTTGAATGCACGTCAACTGTTGGACGGTCTCATCTGATTGGTCGAATTCTTACTTCCGGTTAAGATTTACGTGCATTTTTTGTGACGATAAAAATTAATCATTTTTTTACATTTACATTGGATACGTCGTAGTAACCAATAATGGCGTGTAACGACGGGGGAGAGAGAATATGTTACTTATCTTTTTTTTTTTTTTTGAAAGTGCTGATCTAAGTCCCTCTACGCTTTCTGCGCACACTACTATATCACCCAGTTGGCAGGGGCGTTTCTAGGATATTTGAAAGAGGGGGCGTAGAATCAAATCTTTTGTACCTTTTTTTGTACTTTTTTTTGTTAAAAAACATAAAATAATTGTGAAATGCACTAATGTAACGGTTCCTGACTTGGTGCATGTATATTTTATAGTTAAAGTGTCAGGGGGATTATGTGTTTAATTAATGAATATGATAAATTGCCATATTCAATACAATATTAGCAGATTCCGATAGTTTTGTTGTTGTTTTTTTTTAAAGGGGGGGGGGGGGGGGGGGGGGCGTACGCCCATTACGCCCTCACCTGGACCCGCCCCTGGTTGGTTCCACTCAAGCGGTGTTTTGATGAAGAAGGAGTTCTACCTGTTTGTATCCTGGGATGATTAATGGCCTTGAGTTGTTGACAATGTTCCTGTTTAATGTTGCTGATGTTTCATAGTTCTCATAACGATTTGTGTTTGTTTTTCGCGTCCTTCCAGAGTGCTGGATTATCTGATCTGGGGGTAGGGCTGGTATTAACCCCTCAACTACTTTGTACATGAATACTAGTCGCTGTGATTTCCTTCTTTTTTGTAGGGTTGGCAGTTTTAGGTGTTGTAGCATTTCTGTGACACATCCTTCATCCCGACTTTTGTAATTTCCAGTAATTAGGCGAGCTGCATTCCTTTGTATTCTCTCTAGTTGATTAATTAGCATTGATCTCAATAAGTG